CAGAAGTGAATTACCATAAAAATATGCTTGCACTCAGAAGCAATATATAAATAGCCACATCACGGACCACATCAGGCATTTTAACATAATTTCTGTTTGAACCTTGGGATAACAAGAAACGATCTTTCAAAGTTTCTAACAGAAGACACATCCTATTTCTTGCATGTTCAAAATTTTCAATTTCTGAAAAGATGCCAAGCCCCATTCCTTTTCTTAGTAATTGTTCAGGCAAGATATCACTATCTTCCTCGAAGAAGGAACAAAGCAAAAAGAGGTACTTGGCTTCATCACTTTCTAAGTGATTATAGCATACCTTCAGAGGTTGATGCACATTTTCAATCACTCCCGGAATATTTCTTGGTGCAGATCTTTGTAATTCTACAAGGGTTCCCTCCCATGAAGGCCTGTTGTTAAACTTTAGTGCTCTTGCAACTGTAACAATTGCAATCGGCAGCCCTTTGCATTCTTTCGCAACCTCTTTTGTTATGTCATGAAGAGAAGGATCATCAACTGAATTACCGACTTTCTGCCTGAAAAGGATCCATGCTTCCTCTTTAGATAAGTTTCCAGCTTCCATGATCTTATGAGCCTCCATAGCCTGACAAACATCTCGGCGACGCGTTGTGAATGTCACTTTCATCGATGGTACTTCAAGTTTGGACTTGCAACGATAGAAACAGCCTCTTTCAACCTCAGCTCTACGTCGCAATGTAGTAAATGAGATGCCCAACATTATTGATCATGAAATTTGAGCATTTTTCCACAACTTTAGATAGGAAATCCATAGCTATGATCTCCTTTGTTACCAGTTGAGTACCTTTTCTCTACTCTGAATTCTAAACTCTGCTACTTGTTTTTATTAGTAACTGGGAAGTATAATCCTTTTTTTTATTGACAAAAATTCCTTATAGCTAGTTGATCTCAACTACCAATTCAGATATTGAATCAAAAGATTATACACTTTTTCATCAATACTGATGGAAAAAAAGAAGGTAAGAGAATTCTGAGTAGCACAAATTCGAGGTGTAGTTGTTGCAAAAATAATAGGAAGTATAAATTGAAGAAGAAGATGACTTTGAGGCGTGTAATCACTTTGTTTAAAGAGATATTGCGCATATACATATTGGGATAAATACAAACAATTCTCTTCAAGGATACAACAAAGCCCTTGGATATACTTGTAGAATTTTCTTAGGCTACTTCTAGAGAGTCTTTATATTTATAGAACTTAAAAGAGAGTCATGTTCTTTCATGAACATATGACTTTTCATAACAGTCATGTATTTTTATGAACAAATGTGTTTGTTAAATATAAGACCTTTATATATTACAAAGTATCCAACAGTAGTCTCCCATTAGTATTCGCACTTTAGACTTCTACCTTATAAAAGGCCATTTTTCTGTCTGTGTGATGAGTATGATGATGAGAAATCTGAAACTGCGAAACATGTACAAATATAAGAAGAGAGATGGCGCTTAGTTCATGCGCTCATGCAAGTGTGTTTAGCATTTAAATGGCGAATTCTACATAGGACATTTACGACTATGTAATGATTATGTCAAACGGAATATCTCATCTATCTTATGATGTATCTTGAAACTCGCCTCTTACTTTTGGAGACAATACACATGTGATCGATTATATGCAACTCTTGCTGAATTTCAGTTTCAAGTATGCAAAGATGCACACTTTCAACCGGACATTTACCTTCTGTTAAGCTATGTTGCTCGGATTCTTGAGAAAAATGTTGCCAGTATCCTCCAAAATGCTCTACTTTCAAAGGATCCTCTTTTGAAGAGTCAGAGCAACAGAGCCAATTTGGTAATTGTTGTAACTCAATGAATCATCTCTCATTTCTCTCTCAGGTATAGAGCAGTAACAAGTGCATATTATCGAGCTGCAGTTGGCGCAATGCTAGTCTACGACTTAACAAAACGCCAATCATTCGATCATATGGCTAGATGGCTGGAGGAACTAAGAGGTCACGCGGACAAGAACATAGTTATAATGCTCATCGCGAACAAATGTGATCTAGGAAGCCTTCGATCTGTACCAGTTGAAGATGCTCAAGAATTCGCAGAAAGGGAGAATCTTTTCTTTATGGAAACATCAGCTCTTCAATCCACAAACATCTAGGTGCATTCATGACAGTTTTAACAGAAATTTATAAAATCATTAACAAGAATACGCTCATTGCAGCTCCGGGAGTTGATTATGGGAAGTCGCAATCTTTGAAGGGAACCAGGATTATTGTTCCTGGCCAGGATTCGGATTCTGGTGGGAATAGTGGTGGTTGCTGCATGTCGTCATGATTTTTTATTGAATTCTGGAGGTCTTTTTATTTATCCGAAATCATAATATTACTGGGAATGTTTATGTTTTATGTAGAATAGGGAATTATTGTTGATGATGAAGTTGATTTAGATAGTTTGATTAGCTATTTGTGTATACAGTTCATTAAGTTGTTCACTGGGGCATCAGGGGCGGAGCTACAACCCTGTCTATGGGTTCTGACATGTATTTGTGTTCAAGAATTCACTTAATACGTATAAACAATTTATCCATAATCTACTATGCTTGCTTTACTAGAATACATCACTGATAGACTCAAAATCCTAGCTTCGTTAAAGTTACAAACACACTAGTCTGGTGAACGAGAATGATAAAAAGAGCTTGTAAGCAGAGGCGGAGCCAGAATTTGATGTTTGTGGGTTCGAAATTTTAAAACAGAACAACGTATTAATCTAACAGAACAACCATTAAATTACAAACATATAACCACTATCATTATAATTGCACTCGACAAGTTGTTATGTTTTGAAAACGGTAAATGATGTATCATTAGCTGCATTTTCAAATACTTCATTTGTTAATATAAAAATTTAAGTTATTTAATTCAAAGCACTAAAATATTATTCCGTAAAAGGTAGATAAGTGTTATTTTGAACATTTTTTTCAATAATCTCAATATTATTTTAAGTTAAATTAAAACTATTAAATTCACCATTAATATTTTTGGGACCTAAAGCAAAGGTATGTATTACCTGCTTCCGTTTGAGCCTCTCTTGCGTTGAAAGTTGAAGTTTTGGGAAGCAAACAATAATTTAATTATTATAATCAATTATTAATATGTGAAACAACCCTAAAGTCAAAGATTAAAAATAAAATTTTTGAATAAATTGTTATACAATGTAAAGACAAATAAAAAATAAAAGAGAAAAGGGAGAGCCGAGGAGGAACTAAGAAGAGTACATAGTACTTACCAGGCAGAGGTCCGAATTCCGACAACAAGTAGTAGCAATGAAATTGACAATAAAAGTTAGAGACCTAACATTTTTGCAAATTAGGGTTTAAGGATCTATTGAATGTTTGAAAAGAAATTAATAGTGAGATGTTTTAGAGTATGACACTACTTTTTTACAATTATTTTCAATCATCAATTTTCTATTTTATTGAATCAAAGAATTTAGAAGAAAAAAAAAGAATTTAACCAGGAGCATATTCTTAAGCAAATTAAAAAAATCAGGAAAAATTGAATTAAAGGAAGGTAAAAATAGGCATAAGACATATTATTAAGCCAAAATAGAATAATTTGTTTTTCATTTAATTGAAAAAAAGCCAAAATAGAAAAAATTCAGTTGTTCAAGTGGGGCTCGAACCCAGAATCAAAGCCTTTGCTGACTATGTGTCTACCACTGCGTCATTCACGTTTCTTTGATATGGGTTATCACGCAGCATCAAATTATATTTGTACTTGATTTTTTAGTATGAATATAGGGTCTACGCAAAAGCTAGTGGGTTCGTCCGAACCCCCCCAATAACACTGTAGCTCTGCCCCTGCTTGTAAGAGACATTATCCGCAAGGATCTAGGTCTAGGGAGCTCAAGCACATCTAGGGTTGATAATAAAATTAGATGGGCCACGATTGTACGCCTGGAAGAAAGCAACATTGAAGGTTACAAGGTAAAATCGATACAATTATGCCTAACCAACAGAAATGAAAGGCAACAGAGTTTTCATTTCAAGATTAAACACAGTGAACACCTTTTACAAACTTCAATCTTGTTGAACAGTTAATGTTAGTGTAGTCAACCACGATAAGGATTCCAGATCCCTCGAGGTGGAGTAACTACAATGTTCTACTCTCACGATATGTAGTTCCTCCAATCGAACTAGTCTTGATAAGACCACTGGTGAAATAGTACTCAATGCTTATTCAAAAACTCGAACATAATTAGATTGGTTCAATTTTCCTTTCTCCACTAGCACCTCCTTTAACTGAGAATCTCTGATGCTGAAAATTACCAAATTGAGAAGTTTGCCAATAATAGATATGTCATCCAACCATAAATTACTTAGACATAGCGTCCTCAGATTTGTCAACCTCTGAATGAATGCTGGAAAAGGCGGAATGGTTTATTCATTCCAACAAAAAAATCATCCTGTAATGTGATCAATCTTACAAAACAACGTAGAATGCAAGATGACATGAGAAAATAAATCTACATATTAGCTGGTAAATATAATGAAAGAAGAATATAGAACCACAGGCGTATTCCAAATTTAAAGTTTACAGAATCCTACGGCGACCTCAAGTTTAAATCACAATCAACTATTTTGTAGATATTACTAATACATATACAAGATCTATGGGCAATAGTTAGTGGGTTGACATGAACCGATAGGTTACAATAATGTAGATCCGCCTCTGCTTGTTACCTCCATCACAAGCATATGTAATAGGTGATTCGAGGTTTTACTTGCATTATTTCATTGAGTACTCACTACCTTCCTAGTTTTGGCCATGACTAGGTTCAGCTTTGTTGCCATCACTATCTTTTTGTTTCTGCAGGAAACAGAGAATGCAAAAGAAGAGAGAGATGACTAGCTTATTAAGTAAAAGAAAGTTGATGAACTATGTAAAATGGAAAGAGAGAAGTAGAACCTAATTAGAATATCATGTAGCAATTACTTATATAGCTAGCGGAATAACACATACCTTGTTATTAAACCTCTGCTGAATCGATTTATTCAAATCAACTACTTTCACCTCCTCAAAATCAATTTTCACCCTTATGAGAATCGGTGTACTCACAGATATTCCCTGTTGGATAAACGTCTTCATTTCAGGGCAGTGCCTAATCCTCACTACTCTGAGCGTTGGAAATTCAAGAGCATGTTCTGTCAGAAAGAAATGCCCCAGCTTAGGCAGATCGGTAAGATCCAGCTGTTCCAATCGGGGAAATAAGGTCATGATTCTCTCTCCTTGTTGTTCCTCTTTTGTGATCACTTCCTCCATTGATTCACAAGAAATTATATCTAGTTTTTTGAGATTCAGAAGACCTTTGGCCACTGATGGAAACATCAAGTTTCTCAATTTTCCACAATTCTGTACAATCAATGTTTTAAGTTTGGTGAAGTAGTCAGTTGGAAGTTGGTGAGAGCATAGAGCACTTATGCTGTTAACCCCCCGATGTGTAGCCTTTCCAAGTTGGGACAAGAAACCTGCGAGCTTTGAAGTATCAAACTTTGTTGCAGATACAGTTGGAGCTATTGGAACAAAACACTAGGCTAAAAGTGCTTACACACATTTTCAAATAAATATATTATTTATTTTCTTTTTGAACACATTCTTTTCCTAATGATATTTTTTTATTAGCAAATGTTTATCGTACTTCAATTGAAAAAAAATAACACTAAAAATATTTCTTATTTTATTATAAATATCAAAATAAAAATTAATGGTTGATTTACTAGTTCTGCAAAATGTTCATTGCACGTTTATTCTTTACTGTCATACAAATTTGTAGAGGTCTAATTTAACGTTGATTGATCAATTACATTATTCTTTTGTATATGTTGTTATGTGCAAATATAACAATGTCAATTAATTCTTTTTCATTTAATTTTGGTTATTTGTCGGCAAAATAAAAAATGTTAAAAAATATAAAACTAATTAAGATAATATAGCATATAGTATGTGATATAGTGATGAACTCTTGCTCTAAATTTAAGAAATGGACGAGACATATATAACAAAATTAATAAAGACAAAGAATAGATATATATTTACCATGTTAATTAGGGAAAAAATGACCAATAAATTGATTTTACATAAATGTATAAGAATTATAAGATGATGAAACACAAAAGTGAAGTGGACTAATATTTTCTGTTCACTTTATATAAGAGATCATCACCAAAAATCTATTAAAAGACGAAAATAATTACAACCCAAAAAACTTATCATAAAATACAAAACCAGTAAATAAAGTGCAAATATATACACATAAAAAGAAGGATATTTTAAGGAACATTAGTAAAAAAAACACAAATAATGATACAATCCACCTTGAAAGAAGTTTCATCATATAAATCAAAAAATAATTAACAATAGTTAAACATAAATTATGTAATTGTTTTCGGCATGTTCCTCATACTCAAATAAAGGTATTTTCAAAATCGAAAGAAGGACCATAATATGTTTTGCCTCCAACATTCTCACGATGAAGCAATATAATTCTTAAACCCAAAATTCAATATTGTTTTGTAAATGAAATCCAAAAGTAGGAAATGGGGCATGATTACATGATGATGAAAAGCTTGTAGAAGTTGCATAAGTTGTGAATACAAAACTAATAGGATGATTGTTACTTTGAGTTTTATAGATCATTTGACTATGTGATTGAATGGTATAAATTTTTCTGTCCAAATTATAGAATCCTATAAAGTATATGAGAAGGCATGATATTAATTCCATGGAAGATGAGAGGAATTAAACATTTTAATTGAACTAATTGTAGGTAGTAATTAAGAAATTGAAATTTTCAATAAAAGTGGGAATATGGAATAACTTTCTACAATCAGATTCAATGTATATTGTTTAGAAGTCTATTAATTTAATTTTAAAAGTTAATGAATTAAATTATATGCTCTATCTTTTTTATATTTATTTTAATAGTAATTGACCTTTCAAATTTCCATGTGACTTTTCATATATATATAAACTTTTGAACTTTTAAATTAAGAGTAATTAAGACTATATAATAAATTAGAAATTTATTTACTAATATTTAATTAATTAGATTATGATTTAGTGCAGGGGCAAAATAGTAATCTAACTTTTGCCTAAAATTCTTCCCACTTATAGTATAATATATATGATGATACTATCCATTTAAAGGGTGCATTTTTAATAGTTAAAGTAATTTTAAAATAAAGAAAACATGAATAGAGTACTTAAAAGTAATATCTTTTAATAGGAATAAGATTTGTTTAAAAAGAAAAGAAATAATATGTTTATACTGAAAAAAATATTTTTGACTCAGTTAGTAACAAGAGAAACATTTCCAGAACAAACTACCAACAGAAAGAACATTTTTGGACCAAAGTATTGAGGACAAAATCATTTTGGACTAAACTATAAATTGAGGTCATTTTTTTTATCATTTCACGTAATTTAAGGCATTATCGACCTTTTTTCAAAAAATAAATTACAATATAGCTGCCAAAAAAAAAAAAAGGTCTTAAAACTTGTTCTTACTTTTTTCTTCTTTTCCATATCTATTTATTTTCACACTAAAAAAATGAAATAAGAATATGAAACTCAAATAATGATAAGTTAATAGATCTATAAGGGAGATATTTAAAACTTAAATTAACCGTTGAATTAAAAAAGTCGCAAAAATTCACATCAAATATAGCCTTATATGGATTTTTTAAATAACAAATTAAAAAATTAAGTTTTCACTTGTTAGACAAAAAGGATAGATCTAAGCAATAGAGTTTGTTTAAGTAAATATCTTTAATGCTCAAGTAAAAGATAGTAACATTTTGGTGATAAGAAGCAAACCTTTTCATCAAAAAGAGGATTTGAGTCATTGATGGTAGTAGGCCTGAAATTCTGGAACTCAGGTAGTACATTCAAGATCATTCTTTGTAACAGAGGGAACTCAATGCGCTCAACATTGTCACTGCAAATGTGAGTCAGGCAATCCAGAGATTGAAGGCTGAACTTATATAAATTGGGGAACTTGATTACTTCATGTGTTGTCTTCAATAAATGTGTCACTAAATCACAATCAAAGAGGCGGAGAAATTTAACGTTCTGAAATTCATTCAGCTGCAACTCAATCAGCACATTATTAGAGCCATTTCCCCTTGAATAAACGAATTCGCTCTCCTTCACTAGGTGGCAGATCCAATCACCCAATGGGGCAGTCTCCGTGACCTCTAAAGCAATAATCTTGTCGTAATCATCAATGGTTGAAATTCCCAAGTAAGGTCCACCCATTTTAAGAGTGAACCGTGTCAACTTGGAGGGAAGGCCAAGGTTACTATAGATCACATCACTCAAATCTTTTACTTCCGCAATATGTAGTTCCTCCAATTGAGCTAGTTTTGATAAGACCCCTGCTGAAATCCTTTTAAGTGCTCTTTTCTCATTCCAAAACTCTAACCTAATTAGCTTGGTCAACTTTCCTATCTCCTTTGGTAGCTCATCTAACTCACAATCTCTTATGCTCAGAATTTCTAATTCGACAAGTTCCCCAATAAAGGATATGTCATCCAACCTTAAATCACTCAGACACAGAGTCCTCAGACTTGACAACCTCTTAATGGATGTTGGAAAACGCAGAATGGACTCCACAAATCTGTATCCCCTCAGGCTCAAGACATTGAGGTTACTCATTTCATCAAAAAAATCGTCCTGTAGTTTGAATGGATCTTCAAAACAGAGTTGCAACATTAAAAGCTTCAAGTTTGGGCAAATTATTGGGCTAGGAAGCTCCTCAAATTTATTTGCAACAATTGACATGTGACTGTATTGCTTGTAAGAGTCTTTTCTTGGGAATTCTTCTGAGTTCACATCATGACTTACCATAAATATATGCTCTCTCTCGGACGCAATATATTTAGCCACATCACGGACCACATCATGCATTTTGACATGGTTTTTTTTTAAACCTTGGGACAACAAAAAACCATCTTCCAATGTTTCTAACAGAGAATACACCTTATCTCTTGCTTGTTGTAAATTTTTGATTCCTGGAAAGATGTGAAGCCCCATTCCATATTTAACCAATACTTCAATCCAAATATCACTATCTTCCTCGAACAAGGAACAAAGCAAAAAGAGGTATTTGACTTCATTACTTCCCAAGTAATCATAGCTTAGCCTCAGAGGTTTATACAACTCTTTGGGCACTTCAGGGATACTTACTGTTATTGCACCACGTAATTCTTCAAGGGCACAGTCCCACGAACGCTTATTTTTATGCTTTTTTAGTGCTCCTGCAACTGTAATAATTGCAAGCGGCAGCCCCTTGCATTCATTGGCAACCTCTTTTGCTATGCCTTGAAGAGATGAATCATCGACAAAATCACCGACTTTCTGCCTGAAAAGGAACCATGCTTCCTCTTCAGATAACATTCCAACTTCCATGATCTTCTGAGCTCCCATTGCTTCACAAACAGATCGGAAACGCGTTGTGAATGTCACTTTGCACTGATGGTTGGGGTTGCTACCGCTGGGAATTCCAAGTTTCTCTATACCCCGAAGAGCCTCCCAAACATCATCCAAGATTATAAGGGTGTGGCTGTTCTGATCCATTAACCTTGTACGCAGCCGATCTCCATGACTCCACAAATCATCCCCTTCTAATGTCAGCCCGAGTCCTCCTGCAATTTGATCCTGAAGTGTTTTCAAGTCTGGTTGTTGACTGACAGTTACCATGACGACATCTTTGAACAACCCTTGTTGTTTCGCCTTTTGTCTGATTTTCTCAGCGAGTGTTGTTTTACCAACACCACCCAGACCACATATCCCAATCATAGTGACCTCTTCATCTCTCAAAGCTGCCATGACCTCTTCCTCTTTCAATTTTCTGGAGGCCAACTCCTCACTATTGTTACTATATATAGCCTCACTTTGAACTGGACGATCAAAGGAGATTACATCGCCTTCAGTTTGAAGTTTAGTCAACTCCAGTGTAATTTTCTTAGCTCTCCTGCTGAGGGAGTAACGTGACTTCAAGTTTGGACACCAACCATAAAAGCAACCCCTTTCAACCTCAGCTGTACGTCCCATTACACCTTCCACTCGTGCAATAGTGTTATCAACACTTGTAGTTAACCAAACCTCGCCATTGAGTGAAATGCGTTGTAAGTTTCTCCGGGCAATTTCCTCTTTTTTCTGCACCTCAATTTTGATGTTCTTCAGGTTCTCAGATTCTTTTCCCATAGATGTGATGTTAGTGTTGTAGTAATATAAATACCCAATCCCTTGCTCCATTGGCTGCATCAACCAACCAGTGACATTCCCCACCAAAGTAGATAACAATTCCATATTTTTTTGTTTACAAGGAAGCAAAGGTAGAATGAAAATGGGTTGAGAGTGAATGAATGCAAGAGAGGAAATTCAAAACTTATAATAGCACCATTTTCAAGTAGGTACACTATTAACTCTACTATTTTGGAAGTGACTAATAATTGTACTATTCCAT